CTTCAATGTTTGATCATTCAAAACAAATGTTCCTTTTTTTTTCCCCCAAAACAAATGCTGTCTGGATTAAGACAATTTAAATTTACTTGAAAACATTCCAAAGCTGGAACTTGTAATGAAAACTACTGCTTAATCATCTGGATTTCAGCATCTTACATTTGTCCCTTTTTCTTTTCAATATTAGTCTTATTTTAGACAGAACAACTCCAAAGGAGCATGTGTTCATAGGAAAAGAAAGAACTGTGTGCCGCAGAGCCAAAAGGCAGCTCCACATCAGAATGCTCTAGCAACACGATCACAGCCTCACCCATGACAAATGAAAGCCCTCATTACAAAGATCAGATTTTTTAAAAGTGGAAGATTGCACCACTCCCAACTCTCCTGGGAGACAAACAGAAAAGGCTTTACTGTCTTCAGGGACAAACACTGTCAAAGTGGCTGCAACTACAGCCATTGCATGTGTCATTTGTGTGTCATGTCCCTCCCTGCCCCTGTCCTTCTCAGAGTTTTGGTATAGGAAGAGGAATTGCAAATTATTTTGCAATGTAACCTTTACATTGTTAATAACCCATGTGGAAAACCATAAATTATTCTAACACACTATCTCTGTATCCCAAAAGTTTAAAATTTATAATTCTGAATATTAACAGAAAGAAACAACTTTCTCAGCCATTATCCTACTTTCCCATATACTTAAAGTAACAAGTTACTGCAAAAACACATGTTTTAGATTTCCTACATAGACTTATAAACTAGAATGAACAGGGAAGGTCCAAGGCAAATACACATCAGAAGATGGAATACTGAAATTGATGTACCTTCTTTGTTACTCATATAATCCAAACTAATTATTATCTTCTAATAAACACAATATCTGCCTTTTAAGTCCTACTGTTGTTGTAACTGTATTTACCACAATGTTCAGACATGCTGAACTCATTTGCTCATAACAGAAGTCACTGGCAAAATGAGGCCTTTAATTTGCACTTCCTTTTAAGACTGAAATGAAAGACCATCATTAATGTATTTCAGGCAGCATTGCCAACTCACAAATTATCTCAAGTCTCATGGTATTAAAATTATTATTTTTATCTTTTGCTATTGTGGGGAAAAAAGCCACAACACTTTAGTAATATTTTATATCAAAAAGAGGAAACTACATTCAAGATTAAGACAGGAGTTTCATCACATTTTGTCATTATCACTGCTGATGCAACGAATATTTTCCTCAGGTTAGATGTAAAATGATAGCCAAATAACCACCAGAAGCATTTTTTTTAAAGATCAAGAAGAAAAACATTTTGCATTAGCCTTGGACAGTTTGTGTTTGTTTCTGTTTGTCAGTTTATTCCATCTACTTTGGCTCACCTGAAACTTTCCCCCCCCTCCCCGCCCCATCTTACACTGCCCTGAGTCTTCTTAAAAGGAATATTCAGTTCTCATTATTCAGCAATGCTGCACTTAATGTTAAATCAAGTCTTGATTTTGTTAATCAAGTCAGAAAATAGACTGGGAGAAAGAAATGCTAATTATTTCTAGCTTCACAGCAAAATAAGTTGAGAAGTAAAAGGAAGCATTTAATGATTTAACAGTAAAAGTTATAAATCAAGGAGCTGTGGGTTAACCCTGATAGGCAGCTAAGTATCACACAGCTGTTCATTCACTCATTCCCCCTCAGTGGGATGGGGGAGAGAATCAGAAGGGCAGAAGTGAGAAAATACAGTTCAACAGGTAAAGCAAAGCTGTGCACACAAGCAAAGCAAATTATGGAATTCATTCACTACTTCCCATCAGTAGGCAGATGCTTAGCTATTTCAAGGAAAGCATGGCTTCATCATGCATACCAGTTACTTGGGAAGACAAATGCCATAACTCTGAATGTCCTCCCCTCATTTTTATTGCTGAGGATGACGTTCTAAGGTACAGAATATCCCTTTGGTCAATTCAAGTCAGCTTCCTCAGCTGTGTTCCCTCCCAGCCTCTTGTGCACCCCCTACCTACTTGCTGGGAGGGGAGCAGAGTGAGAAACTGAGAAAGCTTTGGTTCTGTGTAAGCACTGTTCAGGAACAGCTAAAACATCAGAGTGTTATCAGTGCTGGTTTGGTCCCAAATTCAAAACATAACACCATACAGGCTGCTATGAGGAAAATTAACTCCATCCCAGCCACATTCAGTACATGAGTTCATGCTACAAAAATAATGTTTGGGAAAATACGTGAAGACCATACCTTCATCTCAATAACTGTTTGAAGAGCCTTCGTCTTTGCTGGCTCAGGCTGAAGTTGAGTTCTTCTATGTAATTCCTGCGGAGGGACACGATAGAAATAAGCCTGATGACTCATCTTTCCATTATTTTAATCACTCATATAAATTTATTACAACAAATTAAAAGTATGATTATTGGAAGCATGTAACTCCAAATGCTACAGGTGCTTCCCTCTCTACAATCCCTCTGGCATCACTGCAGTCCCTGTCTTATATTACAGTCAACTCTGACGGCACATGCGCGATTTCTGAAACCCCTATCAATAATTAACATCAATGGTGACAAAGCCCGTAAGTAATTTCTTAGTACAAATACAATGCTGCTGTTTCTGCCTAAACATCAAAACTTAATTCAGTTGTGTTACTAATTCAAACACTGTTAATTAATTAAAAATCTCTTACTGTAGTTTCTTTTTAGTTTTTCCTCTAATATCTGAAATAAGCAATTTAAAGACATTATATTTAAACTTGACATTTTAAGGATAACAATTACATAGTGGGTTGACACAGCACCCTCTACAGTAGCAATTACATTTCAGTTTTCACATTTTCATACTATTTTTTATGCATCTTAATCCACAGATAAAAGAAAAATAGATTGTGTTAAGACATACAGTTAACAGAATTAATGTCTACTCGTCTTTACAAAAAAAGAGGATAAAGATGGGAGCACTTGGTCTCTTAAAACGCAGGAGTTGTATCTCCATATGAGATATCTCAATAAAGAACCACTCGCCTACATAGAACAATGCAAAGCTGTAATGAAACTTCATCATGTAAGAATTTGACGATGCTTATACCCCTCCCACAGACTGAGTAGTTTATTAGAAAACAAAACTGATATAATCCTGTTTCTAGTCCTTTAGAGTCCTTACCCTATAAAGGACAGGGCAGCCATGGTGGATGACATTCTCTTCCTGTTCTTCCCACCATAGTGCTTCACATACACATATGAACTAATTTTATGACCATTAAAAAATACATTTATGCCTGGCAGGCTAAAAAGCTAGGTCCATTCACCACAAAGACATCAGTTGACTTCAGAACCTGAGCTATTGTGTCTTCAAAATTATGCCTCTCCCAGCTCATCCTCATAAATTCAAGGGGGAGGTATCATCAAAAAAATATAACACTCTGGGTCCTAATTGTCTTTATTCCCATCTCTCAAATCCCCTTTCCCTGAGTGAAGCAAACAATGTACAACTTTATAATCAACTGAGAGTCTAACAAATACAATCAACTATGGACTGTGCACAGGTATTATCCTGCCTCCCCTCAGCCTATCCTAGCACATCTCTGTGTATCAACTACCCAATAACCCACAAGCTCAAAAGTCATAATTTTTTTGTATCATGAACTATCTATCAGTTTCTTGTTCTGTTTAGCAACAAGCGTATTATTTATCAATGACTGAGAAACAATCACTCTTTCAAGGCTATAGTAGGAGTGATTTGGGGCTTGTTAAATTAAAATCTACTGATAATAAACATCTTTATAAAGTACATCCAAAAATTGTGTGGCATAATATATTAAAATAACAGAAAGAGACAATTTAGTTGTGTGTGCTCCATTTAACTGAACATAGATAACTTAAATGTAGTGAATGACAGACATGTTACCAAGATATCCACCCTGAAATTGTCAGGTTTGGCATGTATTTTTGGTTAACTTAAAAGAAGCTGTCCACAGGTAACTGAAAATTTTATATATGCAGAGATAGGTCAATATTTATGATCTGTAGGATTTCAGTTAAGTAGCCACATTACAGTCAAATGGCTGGTAAATTAAGACCATTTAGATCACGCCAGTTTGAGCTCAGTTTTCAGACTCCTCTGTTTGTTCATTATCTTAACCTGCAAACGTCTGGGGACATGGCAGTTTTTCATTCCCTATTTGTACCATAGTTTACAATGATACCTTAGTCAGTGACTGAAGCTCTTAGGAACCCTGGCAATAGAAAGAAGAACAAAGAGGTAGATATGCTCTGTCTTGCCTATTCTATTTTGCCCACTCTGCTGTTCCCATAGAAGGGATACACAAAAACATAACGGTTAAACAAACTGTTAAATTAGATTCTGACCTGAAATAGCCTATTGATAAGCTGCAGCATTGCCTTCAAGAGCCAGATTAGGTGCAGGTGTTTGAATGCATCCCTAAAGTTAAGTAGGTCTGCATGCTTTATTACAGTAAATATATTGTAGATAAATGTATTTATGTTTAAACTACCTCTAAGATATGACAACAGTGAATTTATAATTTTGCACTGGGCATTTATGAAAAAGTATATCTGAATGGCCCTTTTTTTATTATTTATAACTAACTCTCCACATTATAAAAAGAAAGCAAGCTTTGCAAATCACCTATACAAGGAATCTCTCAATCACCACCAGCTGTTTGTTTCAGATTTAACAAGTACCTTCACTACACACATATCTTTAAAAATAAGAGTATGTCATAGATTTGTCATACAGTTCTCCTACAAAAGTCATGGAAAAATAGTTAGCCAGTCATACCACTATCTGATCAGCAAAAACTACAGCTAATTCTAAGACCAGACTTTGCTCCCCAAGGCCACATAAACTGAGTTGGAGTATAAACAGGATTCGGCACATTACCCAGGGAGACAAACCAGAGTTTCCACCCCCTTAGCCAAAGATGAATAGACTGCCAAAGATGAGTAGTCCGAGATGTCTATCATAGCATGTAGCCATGCCTCATAATACTTTTCCTGTTTGCTTTATGAATCAATCTGATGCTAGCTGACTTAAAAGCTTTTCTTCTCTATCCCTGATGGTAAAATGAAGCAGACTTTAGGATTCTGGAGAAGATCAGAAAATGACTCCCACTTTATTATTTTGTGTGGGTTTCCTTCCAATCAGATTTAAATGTTTGGAGACTCCCACAAGGCTCAGTTCTTGAATTTATGTTGTTCTATGCATGCATTTTTTCTTTTGGGGTACCTGATTCAGGGATATACTTTCGGGGCACTGATTCAAAGATACTACCACTTTATGTGCATGATATCTTACACTGATTGTTTTGCTATCTGAGGTCATCTGGAAGGTTTCAAATTTGCCTGAGCACCTAACCAAGAGACATTCTGAACATTTCATGAAGTTCTTATAGCCTAAGGAAAAGAGATTTTTATCCATTACATCATTTTTTTGGAATGATGCTGCTTTGTCTTTTTAATTTCTTTTAATAAAAAGCCCAGGGAGCCTAATAAAACCCTCTAAAAAAACCCAAAAACCAAAAAAAAAAAAACCCCACAACATTAGGGATTTTACTATAACCTGAACAGTATTGAATGCAACTCTTGATACTTATATCCACAATAAAGTACATGGTGCCATCATCTCTGCAACCATCAAGCTCTATACTAATAACCCCTCAGAGATGTACTTTTATGAAATTACATTTTCATTATAACCCCTATATGAAATGTGCATAACTGCAATTGGTAGTAGTTCTGAGTAATCACTTTGCACCTACAAATTAATTATACTTCTGCATAATCAGATGCCCATACCTGGGATTTCATGATGATGCTTAGTTGTAAAGGTGATTAACACACCCACACACAATTGACAGGTAATCAGATCCTTTTCTTCTAATTTCCTCTGATGTTCTTTACTTTTAGACCAAAATGAGTCTTAAACCAAAACTGGCCCTTGCTTTCTCCTTCCATACATTTCTGGGATATCATGATTAGCATCTTGTGTTGGCCTCAAAAGTAACTTGAGCACACAGTTTTACCACTAATTTAAGCATCAAGAAAGTCCCAAGAAGAGGCAGTTTATATCGTATACTTTCTGAAATAATAGTGGAAGATAAGTCATGTTCTTTTGCTTAGAAAATTGATCAAAAGACCTTGCAAGATTAATATTATTAATCACTATTCAAAATCCACACTACATAGCATAGTCTCAACCTAATACTGATTAAAACCCTTTTTATGCCAGCTTCATTACAAGACACTTCATCAGATGGCTGCAGGAAAGCCAGGGTGCTGCAAAGTGATCCTCCTTTTATTTTTTTACATATTTTATTAAGGTTTCTATGACATCAGTGACTATGTGTTGTTCTGATTAGATGAGATTAAGCCAAAACTCTTAAATAAAATATTACACCAATGCTGTTAATGTAGTTCAAGTTTTACCTTCTATTTACAGAAAACTCTCTAAAATATGATGATATAAAGTGCTAGAAAGAAAAGGACTTTTTCAGAAAAATAGGTAGTTTAGAGACAATATCACAAAACCATCAGTGAGAGCCTACATATCAACTGGTAAGCTTCTACTGATTAAATAAAAGAAGGAAAATGGAATTGTAAACCAGAAGATCTTAAAATTAACACAAAAATAAAGATTTATAAAAAATAAAGATTTAATAGGAAGAAGGACAAAAGAATCAAATAATCATTGGAAAAAAGATGGATGATTAAAAATGGCAGCAACTATACTTAAGGCAACATAAAAACAGGCATGAGAAACCATTGTGTCAGTAAATCTAGCTTCTTGTATTCCTAGGTAAAATGTACAAATCTGTAAATCACAGCAGGCAATGGTATAGGACCTGCTAGTTCTCTCAAACACCTCAAAGCAGACTGCTTCCATTCTCCTGGACAAGAAAGCCTTGGTATTACTTCTACATGAACAGCTTGTCTGAACTTTAGAATTTAAATCAGCAGTATATTAATATTTCAATCAATTATTTAATTTAAGTAAAAGCACAGCCACTTACCTAGTGTCTAAACAGTAGTGCTTCTCCAGCCAAAAATACCATTAGAAAGACTGATCCAATTCTATTTAACCAGAATACTACAAAAGTGTAACATAGAGGAATTAATTTATTCTTAACATATTAAGCTTATCTTCTCTTTCCTGTTTTCTAACCCTTTGCATCTACTCCCAGACAAAATGGTATCACAGTAATTTAGATGAAAGTATTTTTAAGAAATCCTGATCAAACTCTCTTATCTTTCTGGAAACCATAAACTGACAACACTAAAAATTTCCATGTCTGGCTCCAGTGTGTA